AAGCCTATGAGACCAATAGTTACTCGGAGGCAAAGGAGTTGGCCTAAGAGGAGTTTGTACAATAAAAGATTGAATCCATGACCTAAAGTCATAGTAATCAACCAGCAAATACTTTTTGCTCCTGAATTATCCCATTGGGATTGATAATTTAATTATCTAATATTACTAAAATTTAAGTTAGTGGGAATGATCCGGATCATTATGATCCAACAACTATTATTGTATAAAAATATATGTATTTATATATATTTTTTCTTTCCAAGATATACGTCATTAAACTTTATATTTGATACATATAAGATTTGAACCATGATATTTATAAAATAATAAAACTGTTTACACTAAACTACTTTTTTACTATTAACCCACATAAATATATTAATTTTTGCTTAACTAATTCTGTTTATAATTATAATGGACGAAATCAAAATATTGTTGAATAGTGATAGAAGTTTATTTATAAATATTTAATTGATTTTTTATGTACCTAAATCACTGTAAACAAGTCAGCATTTACCGAAGGAATTTTTCGTTGGTAAATAAAGAAAATTCGTCTATAAATCAATATACCGATGAAATACCGACTACAAAAATTTATTGCTAAATTACTAGACGGTAAAATATTTTCCGACCGATTATCAAAACATCGGTAATTACTGACGTATATTTTGTTAGCATTTTGTCAATAGATGTCAGTAAATTGTTGTGAAATCGTTGTCAAAATATTGTCGGTATTCAGTCAGTAAATATTTCTGTTGCTAAATCATCGGTACCTTTTGAATTCAATCTCTATCAATTTTTTCTCTACGTAATTAATTAGTTAACTATTTTGCAATTTTGGAATTTAAATTCTACATGACTGAAGTTTAACTAAAAAGTTTAAATTCAACATTTAATTAATTAAATAGTCATGAACTTGCGCGATGCGCAGATCGTATAATTTTCTGTTTTTTTAATTAAATTGAATGCAATTTTCAAGAAAATTATTTTAATTTATATTTGCGTGCTTTAATTTAAATAATTTTAATTTCTGTTTTTTAATTAAATTGAATGCAATTTTCAAGAAAATTATTTTAATTTAATTTGCCGTGCTTTAATTTAAAAATAATTTTGGAATTGAAATTAATTTTGGAATTTAAATTCTACATGACTGAAGTTTAACTAAAAAGTTTAAATTCAACATTTAATTAATTAAATAGTCATGAACTTGAGCGATGCGCAGATCGTATAATTTTCTGTTTTTTTAATTAAATTGAATGCAATTTTCAAGAAAATTATTTTAATTTATATTTGCGTGCTTTAATTTAAATAATTTTCTTAGGTGCTTTTGATTAAACGATGGAAAGTAATATTATACGTTCTTTTTTAAATTGTCAAATATTGAACTGAAATATTAATTAGTACAATTAATTATTGTAAGTAAATTATTGTTATTCAATTGATATACTTAGTTAATTATTTATTTTTGTCTTTGAATTTCTCGTATATTCAAATTAAATGGGGTATAAGAATATTTAATCTTATTGAAATAAATTTTAGTGAATTGAAATTAATATTCTAATTCTATTTGTTAATCTAATTATATTATTTAATTTTAATTTATATATTTAATTAAATTTTTTATTAACTAATTACATCTATTTATAACTTTCATTATGTTTTTATTATAGAATTAAAATTTTTATAGAATAAAACTATTTAATAAAAACTTTATAGTTATTATATATTAATTATAATGAAATCTTATTAGTTTAATTGTAACTCCATTATTTAATAAAGAATATTTAAATTTAAATATAAAAGATATTAATTATAATGAAAAAATAACATGTCATGTCATCACTTTTATATTCTAAAACATGTTGTCACGATCTTAAAATTTATATATTTATACAGATAGAGGTAGGATGTAATGATTAAGAGCTTCTTCACTAACATAAGCTTTAATTAAACTAAGAAGCACATCTCCACCACTATATTAAGAAATCAAATATTGCAAAAAGTTTTAACTAAACAAATAGATTCAGAGATTTAAAAATAGAAAATAAACAAAATGTTCAATTGTTCAGTTCAAGAAAAGGAATAACAATATAATAAAACTTGGACAACTCAGATTATGCGGCCAAAAAAATACGAAAACCCTAAAACGTGAAAATCTGTGCAAATAAAAAATGAAAAATCAAGTTTTCATTCGAATAAAAAAGGCATATTATTGCTGAAAATAATTGGAGAACGAAAGATGGGGTAAGAACTAAAATTCCGCACAAAATCAATATCAGTATTTAACCAAAATCAAGTAATTGCTACCAAAACCGTATTCAAACAACCAATTAAAACTGCAAATCAAGCTTCTTACTTGAGATTAAGATGGCTTCAGAAATCCAACAATTTCAAAAAATGGAGAGAGAAAGCGGCAAAGGAAGAAAATGGAGACTGTACATCGAAGCCAAACAAAAACAAGCAAGGATATACCTAGTCATGGCCACCAGTTCATTTTGAACCGTAACCGAACCGTGCTGTAGATAAACTGAAATCGGATCGGAATCATCGGTTCAAAATTTTGAACCTAATCGGAACTAAAATCAAACCGTACTGTTGATGAACTGGAACCAGACCGGAACCGGCAGTTTAAGAGCCAGTTAAAGTTCATGTGAATGTTAAAATCTGAACCTGAACCGGCGGTTAACCGACGATTTCGGTCCGATTCGAACCAGAAATTTTCTATTTTTATTTTCAAAATGGGCGGTTACACCGACCGATTTCGCGTCCGCTATTCGAAACCAGAAAATTTTCTATTTTTATATTTTCAAAAATGATAATTCACATAGCCATATTTATACATCTCTAAAAGTCTCAATTATGTTTTGCGTAAAACATGATATTTACTTTACTTAAGAATTTTTTTTTTTTTTACAATTACACTCTTACTTTAAAAAGTTTAAAAAATCTAAAAAGTAAAATGGTAAGCTAAAAAAAAAGGAGGGAGAAATTATTTTAGTCTAAACTTTATATTGTTTTTAACCACTCCCTTTTTTTTAACCCTTTTAAATGTTTACTAAATTTTATAAAATTACATTCTTTTGAAGTATTTCAAAATTTCTCTATTAATTTATTTATTAATAATATTTTAAAACAAAATAACAGTGATAAATTTTAATATTGGATTTATTTGTTAAAATTAATTAAAATTTATTTTCTTATATGAGTATTGAGCATTCTAAAATTTTATTTTATTAGCATTCTAAAATTTTTATTTAAAATAAAATTTACCAATATTTTTACACTAATATTAATATTTTCGAAAGATAAATTTATTCTTATATGAGTATGAGCATTCTAAAATTTTTATTTATTTAGCATTCTAAAATTTTTATTTAAAATAAAATTTACCAATATTTTTTACACTAATATTAATATTTTCGAAAGAAAGATATAACATTAGAAACGATTTTTTTAAAAATATATATATATATATTGCCGGAAACCGTGACCGGAACCGCCAGTTCATCAGAACCGCACCAAAGAAAATTTTTTTTTGGATGGTTCCACTGCTTGATATAATTTGAACTTTTGTCGTATCATATATAGCTTTACCAAGCAATGAAGAAAATCTTATTCATCTTCTTCTTCTATATTTCAAGTTATGTGCTTTTGGTGTGTTCTACAATGTCCACACTAAATGAAATATTTTCCTGGGAAAGAAAATCAACATTAATACATATATCAATCAACTTTCCTTTTCGCTTTATTTTTCTCAAGTTCTCATTTGTCAACAATGAGAATGCAACAAATAGTCATTAGCATAAGGTCATGTATGGTGTTGGTGTTTGAAAAGATAAAATATCATGTAGGAATTGCTAATTATATATGAAAACTCATGCATATAAACCCAATAACCATATGAGGATTCCAAAATGAAGGATTATTTTCATAAAATAATGAATATATTTATTCATTTCATAAATTATAAATTATCAAAAAGCTAATAAGATATAGATTGTTATACAATATTTATGCATATTATAATACCATAATTCTCTAAAGCAAATTGAAGAATATTATTTTACACAACGTGTTAATGTAAAATTTTGATGTGTATGATTCAAGTATATAGAATAAAATCAATATAGGCTTATCTTTTATTTGTGAGGCCATTAGGTATTTCTTCTTCCATCTCTTTGAATTCTTAATTGGTGAAAAGTAATTTGCGTTTTCAATAGACAATATCAATTGATGGATTTCATTAGAAGCAGTGATGGAGCCAGAAATTAAAAACAGGGGCTAAAAAAATTTCAAGAGTTAAGGGGAATGAAATTGAAAAATTTACTATTTTAAAGGGTAAAGTAAAGAAATTTTAATATTTTATGGGTAAAGTCTTTAAAAAAAAATTTTTGTTAGGGGGCCGGGGCCACCCCTAGACCCCCTAGCTTTGTCATTGATTAGAAGATGAATCAATGACACTATTTTATTGTTGTAGAAGGTGTCCATGTTAACCGCATCAAATTTGATAGAAGTAAAAAATGATTGAGAAGATAAGTAGAATATATTGATAGAATTTTTTTTTTCTCCCTTCTAAGGTAGACAAAGTAGCCATTGTCCTGTTCCGGGTGGGAGATAAAACTATTAAATACTGAATAAATATATGATAAATGTTTTCTATGACTGAGCGTTACAAATTCTTTATTGATTCGTAACTCTTGGTATAATTATCTATATTAAATATACTTTATACCTTTAATTTATTTATTAGTCTATCAAGACTCTATTATTTAAGTTTGAAAATTTTAGAACGGGACTGAAAATTTCATAATCCCCGTCTCGATTTCCATGCACACCCCTTATACTGACTAAACAAACATACTTATACATACATATGTATGTGTGTTTCAAGCTTGCTACCCTACAATTACAACCCATGCTCCAATAACATTAAAGGGTATTTAAATATTAGGTGTAGAAAATATTGCACCCGACCTGAAATTGGAATAAAATGAGCGGAATTTCAAAAGAAAATGAAAAGATTACCATTCATGCTCATTTCACGCATTTGCATATAATTATAGACCAATTATTCCTTTTTTTTTTTTTTTTTCATTACAGTTCTTCAAATGATTCAATTACTTTAATATTAAAATTCAATGGTCTAATTGTAGGTACTTTCATTCTTCTAAGTTGCTAATTGCTTCAGCATAAAATCCTTAACCTCCTTAATCAACAGACTAGATTCAGGCAACTCAGGAAAAAGATAAAATATATGAGGAGCATTTGGATATTCAACCATATAAGCTTCTTTCCCAGATTTCTTCAGCCCTTCATAATACCTCTTTTGCCAGTCCTGTAAAGGATCATATCCACCCACAAAAACGATCGTCGCCGGAAACTCAACTCCTGAAATATCATCGGAATTAGGCCCGAATACATTTGCTGCCGGGTGGTCCCGATTTGACCCGTCTGGCAATAATGATCTCCAAATCCAATCTGTACGCTCCATGTTAACAAATGGAGCTTTTGTAAGCCTTAATTCAGATTCAGTTCTCTCTTCTCCTCCGAAGAATGGCTGGATCGATATGTTTCCAATTATTTTTACATTAGAAAATTCATACTTACTTGCTTTTAGTATTACATTATGCACGATGTTGCTTCCTGCACTATCTCCTGCCATAAAACACTGTCTTAGATTGGCTTGGCTTGAAAAACCTTCAATTCCTGAATTATCTACAAATTTTAGAGTCTCAAAACCGTCATCGTATTGGCATGGATAAGGATGCTCTGGAGCTAGCCGGTAGTTTACGGAGATAACTATGGAAGACAGTTTGCGAGCAAGGCGGTAGCAAAAGTCATCGTAATGTTTTGAATTGGGTGCCATGAAAGCAAAACCACCTCCATGGAAGTAGAAAATAACTGGCAAGCCACCACCATAGGTGGTGGTGGTAGCTGTTGGAGTGTAGAGGCGGAACCAAAGGTTTCGTTGTTTATCAATGGTGATATCTGTGGTTTTGACGCCCTTGATTGGTTTCTTAGATGGGGAAGTTCTAAAGTCTAAGAATCTCAGGAGAGAACGGTTTATGGAGCCATCAGAGCGACGGGTTATGTCACCTAAGAAGGCCGCGATAGATAAGATGAGCTTAGGCATCCATGGGAGGTCCGGCCACTGTGAAACTTTTTGTGCCATTTCTGTATGAGTCAATTAGCGCAACAAAGAAAAGAAGATATAAAGGCTTGTAAGTAAGGCACAATCAGCCTATCAACTGTCCACCTGTCCAACTCCAACATCACACGTTTTCTTTTTTTTTTTTTTTTTTTTTTATAAGTAAGGCACAATCAGCTTATCAAACTGTCCACCTGTCCACTCCAACATCACACGTTTCTTTTTTTTTTTTTTTTTTGTTTATTTTTTTTTTTTTTTTTTTTTTGTTATTAAAAAAAAAAATCTGATTGGTTTCCTTGTACAGCTGTACAGCTGTGGACATCTGCATTTTGAGTTTGCCGCATCAAATTTATTACCAATTCAATGAATATTAAAAGAAAGATTTCGATCCATCAAATTTCCTATGAATAAAAATAGGAAAAAAAAATCAATTCTTTTTAAATTTGACTTAATTATTTTTAAAATATAATATTTTTTTTAATCATTGAAGCCTGTAATTAAAAGAGAGGTCTCGATCAATTGAACCTCCCATGAATCAAAAAAGGGAAAAAAATTATTTTTTTGAGGTGGGCTTAATTATCTTTTATAATATGGAGTAATATTTTTTTGTTTATTAAGAGCCTATCATTAAAAAGGGAGGTCACCATCCATTGAACCTCCCATGAATCATAAAAGGAAAAGAAATTTTTTTTTTTTTTTGAGTTTGGCTTTATTATATTTTAAAATATAATTTTTTTTTATTCATTGAGAGGTATAATAGGTTAAAATAATATTCTGAGCTATACAATATGAAAAATCAACCAGACCACTCCTCACATAATCTTTAATTTCACTTAATTATTTCTTAAATATATAACATTATTTTGATTTTAATTTTTAATTCAATATATTGAAACGTGTAAACGGGGAGAACTCCAGTTTTGCTCCTTACATTATTTGATGAATGATTTTTAGTTAATTAAGACTCCGTTTGTTTCTATAAATTAATTTGTAAGAAAATATTTTCCATAATTTTTCAATGTTTGGAATATTAAAATAAAATAAGTCAAGAAAAATAAGTTATTAGTGAATGAAAAATGATTTATTAATCAAGGAGAATGACTTATCCTTCTTTACATGGGAAAACATTTTCCTATCTTATTTCATTATTCAAATTTGATCTTTTAGTCCATCAAAAACCCTTTACCTGCTCAAGAGGTGCAATTGTAAATTGTAAAAACTGTGCCAAGTGACTCTTTTTAGTGGAAGAAACGTTTAAAATAATTTATTGATAGGGTCATACCATTTAAAATGTATTTTATATGATATTTTTTTGCAGCATGATTATTTTAAAATAATTATTAAATTATTTTAACTATATATTTTTTAAAATATGTTAAAGCTCATTCCATTTAAAATATATATTTTTACAATATATTTTAAAATAACTATAGTACTTATATATTGTTAAATTATTTTAGCATGATATACATTGTATTGTTAGATGATTTAATTAAAAAAATTAGATAACATTATTAGACTAAATTAACTATCATTATAGTATTTATACTGTTAGAATACATTTTAATATAAAAATTTATCTTTAATATAAATTCTTATAAATAATATAATAGATGTAAATGCATTTATACGATATAAAATTAAAATTTTTAATGTTATATTAAATTTTGAAAAACATCTTCTAAAAATATTTTATGGAAAGTTAAACATTGAAAAATAATATTTTTTTTATAAAATATTTTTCGAAAATAAACTGAGCCTAATTTCTTTATTTTAAATTGCATAAACTAAATTTCTCAGGATTATCGAACCTGGTATTGGCAGTGTCTTAAGAAACTGTGCAGGTTTTGTTATGTGTCTTTTCTTTTAACCCACATGTGCTATGGGATTTTGAAGGCGATGGATATTATTTCAAACTGTGATATAAAAAATCAGAAAGTCATTATTGAAATAAATTCACAAACAACATTTTGTTGAGTCACTCTGTTAGCAGTCAACTGAAGGTCTACACACGCAGGCCTAAGCCCCCACATATTGAGCTGTTGAATTAGTCATTCAAATTCTGTTTTGCATTTCTGTTTATTTCCTGTTATGTAATTGAATTAGTCATTTCAAATTCTGTTTTGGCATTTTCTGTTTTATTTACCTGTATATTGGTAGGAGGTAAGCTTTCCTCCACTTTCTTTATTCATGCGAGTAGTGGGGAGGGTGATCCTCCACTATACCGGATCTCTCCTGCTCCTTAATTGGTTAGCAAAAGTTGCATTTCTGTTTATTTCCTGTTATGTAGGAGGTAGTTCCTCCACTTTCTTTATTCATGCAGTAGTGGGAGGGTGATCCTCCACTTAGGATTCTGCTCCTTAATTGTAGGAAAAGTTAGTCTGCTATTTGTGTATACATTCAGCAGAACTCATGAAATAAAGGATATGATTAAACCCAATTAAGTTCTTTGTAAGGTCATAGTCTCCCTTTAACGAGTCTGTAGATTTCTGAACTTCCACCATAGATCGTTCAAGGAAAACCCCTAGCCTAAACACCCAAACACCAACTTCCCACCGACCCATAACTCGATCCATAAGTAGGGACTCTACCACACTCAAAGGGACAAATGCCTTCTAAATGGTGGGAACTATTTAAGGAATTTGATCAATCTTTAAAGCTTTACAATTTTTTTTTAGCAAGGTAGATAAAGGATCCAATCAATTTGCATATGCTTTGGCTAAAAGGCTCATGCCAACAAAATTCATTTTTAGCATGGTTATAAATTAATAGACCGAATACATAACTTCACTTTTGAACTTTGTCATTTTAATTTTATGATATACTTAACTTTTATTTTGATCTATTAAACAATTCAATTAATAAAATTTCACTTATTAAATATTTCTACCGTTAGAATTATTTTATTAAATACTTCAATTTGTAAAATTAAAATAATTAAATATTTATTAAATAGTTAAAAATATGAAAATTATTATTTCAAAATTTGAATTAACTACTTATCAAATCAATTTTTTGCATATAAAAATAAAAAATCCTCAAAACTATTGCTATTAGTACAATATTACTAAAATTTACAAATTTAAATACAAAATATATGATTCAAAAAAATTTAAATGCTAATAGATTAAAGTTATAAAGTTAAAAAGTAAATTTATATTTTAGTATTCCTTTGATCAATCCGATTATGATTGGACTTCAGCGATCGTTTTCCACCTTTTCAGGTTGTTGGTCGGTTGCACGCAATAACTGCCTCTTCTTCTATAGAAGCTTGTCTTGTATACCTAATTGCGACCTTAGTGCTGGTTTGTTTTAGTTGGATCTAGTCTTTTTATTGAGCTTCATTATTTGGTATGGTGGACAATGGCGGAGCCAACATCAAATATAAAGAGGGCAAAAAATCTTTTTCAAAAATTAAGAGGGTCAAATTAAAAAGTATATCATTATAAAGGATTAAACTGAAAATTTTTAAAATTTAGAGGTGCAATTTAAAAAAAAAATCTTATTGAGTGGCCAGTCCAACAGTGATGATAATAGAATTTTTTTTGTAACGGAGGAAGTTTTAAATCAAAACCTCTCGCTACTCGTCATTTTTTATATAAGTGAGAAAACTAAACAAATAAAACGTGCTTGACACATCGAATGTTGTCATTGAAAATAAATGTTGATAGATATCTTTAAACGGCAAAATAAAAAATGGGCTCCATTACAAGTGTACTCATTTATGGACCAAGACGAAATTATTGTTGTGGTGGGGCACGTATAAAAATGGCGGGAATTTTCTAGCCTATACTCCAGTGTGGGTCCATCTGAAACATGATTACATATTTATGTAGAAACCTAACTCTGACTATTATCTTCCCATGTCGGCATGCAGAAAAAATTTTCTAAGGAAATCGAAAACAAGATTCTATTTTCAAATCAGTTCTACTCGAAAGACTAGAAGACAGTTTTCAATTTGAAATTAAACTAAATTTTCAAAATAGCTTTAAGTTGTTTTCATAATTTTTTTTATAGTAAAATATATTTTTATATTGTTTTTCCATTTTTAAAAAATGACATTTTCATAGTTAAAATTATGATATTTATAAATATTTTTTTCTAGAAAATATTTTCATTGAAAATACAGAAAATATTTAAATAACATAAAGAATTATATTATGCTTTAATATATAATTAATTTTATTATTACAAATATATTATACCTTTTATTTTTAAAAAATTTTACAAAATGATGCTTTAATTATATAATTTTAAATTTTTATTATTACCAAATATATTTTTTTTTTTAATACCTTTCTATTTTTTTAAGAAAAAAATTTTTACAAAATGATTAAAAAAATTTTTGATATTACTATTATAAAATAATTAATTTTATTATTACAAATATATTATACCTTTTATTTTTAAAAAATTTTACAAAATGATAAAAATTGATATTACTATTATAAATAATCAATAATAAAAATTTTTAAATTTTTTTATAATTTTTTCTTTTAATTTATGAAAGTTAAGAATAATATTTCGAAAGTTTTTAAATTAAAATATAATTTTTTATTGTTACTAAGTGAACACATTTTTCATTTTTCATTTTTCATTTTTAGTTTTTATTTTCTAAGAAAACTTTTTTCTTAAAAAGCAGAAAATAGAAATAGTAAACACATCCTTAGATGTTTCATCGATTAAAGTGCAAATATATATGTTGATAGTATTGTAATTTCATTTTATTAAATTTAGTCTCTTCTATAGTTAGAAATATATATATATTTTTTATTTTGTATTTGTGTTTATAAATATTTTTAGATTAATTAAACGATGTGAGAGAGGTACTTTATTTTGTAACATGTTATAGAGGGCATGTTGTTTTTGATAATTTTCACTGTAAGTCCCAATAGGCAAATATCCATGGGGTGAATTGGTATTTTAAAAAATTAATCGTTTTAAAGAATATTATAATCACAGCAGAAGCTACACTTTATACCAACTAAAATCAGATAATAACTATGTATAAAGCAATTAAACATTCAATCTGATTTATCATAGACATTAAAAC